TATTTCATAAACATACCTGAAATGGCAGTTCCATTTAACACTCTGTAAAGAAATGTCTCTTAAAAATAAAAAAGACAAAAAATAGGATGGAAGAAAGCTTAAAAATAGACTGCCTGGAGAGAGGAGTTATGGTGTGGGATTGTCCCACCAAGAATGGCAAACCCAGTCTTTTCACACTGTGCTGGGGACCCTTGATGAGATCTTGTAAATAAATGTGGAATGAGGGGAGTTCTTACTGAGCTTGGGTGATTCTTTCTTCTTTATTAAAAATGCTTTCAGTTGTTGAAACTTACAGCTAACGTTAGGTCTCTATTGCTGTTACCCACAATTAAAACTATGTTGTAATTAGGATCACTTAAAAATAACTTCTACGTGCCTGACCTGTTCTTTCTGTGACAGGATTCGGTAACTGCTGATTACTCTGTGGTTGAGTTTGGAGGTATGATTTGGCTATTCTGCAGGCAATATTAATGTGGGTGGAAATTATTTAGAGGGATTCATCTGTTCTAGGTAAATAGTATTGGATTTTTGTTATTGCATTAGAAAAGGCTGTGTTATGAAGAACCTACAAGTTGGTCAGTCACTTGTTTACTGACAGAATTGCTAGAAAGAGGTAGGCTTTGGGCTTTTTGTTTTTAAAGGAATAGTTAATCTTCAAGGTGAAGAGTAGATAATTTATTTATTTTCTGGGCAATTCTGGATAGAGAGGAGAGCAAACATTAAGTAATTTTTAAATAATGTCACTGTAGTGATTTGAGAGGTGTGTGAAACTCCTGTTACGAGCCAGTCTTGCCAATCACATTTTTCAGCTGGATGTTGGCATAACTGGTTCCTTGATGGAGATCTGAGGTGTCTGAAGAGCCAGTGCTCAAAATAGGTTTTAAATCATGTAAAAGATGATGTCCAAGTGCATAGTAAGAGTATCAAGTACCCTTAAACTTTATATTATGGTATGGTCATGAGTACGTGAGATAAGAAGTTTAATGCACAAAATCAAATATTAATTCTAAGATGTGATTGAAGATGCGAGACAATTTTTTTTTATTCCTTTAGATTAGCCTACCGCAAATTTCTATTTAATTTCCAGCATTATTGATTGCTTAACAGAGATTTTATTTATCTTATTTCTTTAGTAACCATTAGTTTTGCGGTGAAACCCTCCTGCATATTTTACTGCCTTTTTGGTTACACAAGCAATGATTCATAAATAAATGTTTAAGTCCACTAGAGTTAATGCGGTGTTTGCATATGGATTATAATGTATTGTTTGAAAAATTAATACACAGTGGATTGTAATGTATTGTTTGAAAAATTCAGTACATAGCTCTACTGTGTTCTGAGTATCATTTTGAAATTGGATGCTGCAAGACCTGTTGTAGTCACTACCTCAAAATCTCAAGAGATAGGAAGCATTATTTGCATTTTCAACTCAGTATGAGAGCATGATTCTGGAACTAAAGTTCCTGTAAATCTGTCTAATGAGCCTGTCTATGCCTTCTCAAAGCTTACCCTGGAGAAGAATGGAGGGAAAACGCAAGAACAACTCACCACCATGGTACTTGCTCAAGGAAACCTGGACCTCAAACACTTCTTTGAAAGTCCCTGCAAAATGGTACCAGTGTCTTAAGAAAACCCTTTATCTGCAGTTGTTCTGGAGCTTACGTTAATGAAAGGGCAGACAATCGGGCATCATATCAAATGCAGTACTGACAGTGGATCAACAGCAGATGCTTAGACAAGAATATGTGAGAAGTGCTGCAGGAGTATCACTGTATGCTTGCTTACCATTCTGTCTTTCAGTGATTTCATGGTCTAGGAGCTCCTGAGTTAGAAATCGCATCTTCAGATATGGAGTTTGTCATGGATTTTCTTCCCTTAGTTTGCCCAGCTACATGAACTTTAAGCTTAATTATACATTTTGTGAAGAAATAACTTTTTTTTTTTGCTTTGAATCTGCCTTTCTATGCTTTTCCTGAACATCTCCTGCTCTTAGAACAACCAGAAGTTGTTCTATATTTACCTTCCCTGTGTCATTTGTGATCTTGTGGAGGTCTGTCCTCTCCTGCTTTCATCCATCTCTTTCTTGCCTCTATTTACGTGTTCATCATACAGAAGCTGTGCTCTATTTGTCCCATGTTGCCATTTTCTGTATCTCTCTAGACCTGCTGTATTGGTAAATGAAAACAAACCAGAAGTGCACACAGAATTAAGTTGATACAGGATGCATGATGGAATTACTTTGTGATGAATTTTTCACTTTTGTTCTGCGTGTCTCTTCTAATAGTCTGTATCATTCGGTTATATTTTTCCTGTCAGCTCAGTGCCAAGAAGCTGTTACTGTCACAGGCAGCTCTTTTGTAACCCTAAGTTCATGTCCCAGAGTGCTGGTAGTCAGCTCAGGGTCTGTTGCTATATATCTAAACTTAAGATCCTTTATTGGTGGACTCTTTTTCCCCTAATCTGACTTTCAGAGAGGGGTGCAAACCCCTGCCTTGTTCAGAAGGAGATAAGAGTTGCTATGAGAGCTGGATTCAGTGTTAGGAGGCATCGCTACTTCGCTGTAAGAAAGGACTGGCTAGTTAAGAACATCTGGTCTTTGCATATTTCTTCTTCCCCATCTGTTGTATTTCTTAAGTTTTAAGGAAAAGCGGTATTTGGAAATAGAATAATTGCTTAAGAATAGACCAAATTAAGTAATGGACTAAAAGAATAACAGTATTAAACTTGGGATTTTGTATTTGTGATGTTTTCCCTCAGTAAGTGTTCTCTTGTTGCTTTTTCCTTTCTAATTATTCATGTATTCTTCAACTAAAATTTTAGCAACTGTATGTCATTCGAGTGTTTCACAGTTGTCTGGAGCATGTAAGATTCCGAGTCCTGTGGCAGAGAAACTACGAAACTATATCTAAATTACACCAGAATTAATTGGCTATTGAGAATACACTTCGAACTTGGCTAGTGCTTTCTGGCTTGGTGCTGTATAGGTTCTGCACTTTGACATGAGAAATAAAGATTTGTAAGAGTTGTGCTTGTTTTGCCCCCTTTACTGTCTGTACCATTTCATGCTCTCTTTCGTCAGTAGACTATGTTCTGTCCTGCATGATTGTTTCTACATAGGGCTCTCCTGAAAGCTCTGCAAAAGTGACCCACAGGTTTTAGCAGAAACCCCTGCGGGGGCCTGCCTGCGACATGGGTGTTTCTCTGCTTTAGTGGTCAGCAGGCAACCACGCTAGCGCCTTTTCTTATAGCGCGTATCTCTCTGAACCTGAATCGTTTGGGAAATAATCAAGGATACTACTCAAATAAACACTTTTTTTTTTTTGTCCAGTCTAATAACTTTCTCATATATGCTTGTTGAATGACAAGCAGAATACGTGATTTCTTGCATAGCTTCCCTATTTTATTAAAACTAAATCATGTCCGCTCCCTTCCATCTCAACTGCCATCTCACACAAGGGAGTATAAACACTTAATTTTAAACATGACTCATTTTTATGATTGTACAAGTGTGCTAGATGGTTATTTTTGAAGAGAAAGTTGCTGTGACATCCCTAAACCAAACTTAAATAGGGAGTAACCTGGATGGTTGGTTTAAATCTTCTAAGTATGCAACTATCAATACTTGTCCATCATACCCAGTCTTGCTGTAATTGGAGGACAGGTGAAATGAGGGATTGTGCCAGCTTTGCACATGAGGGCAAAAAAAAAAAGTTGCCACTGGAAGAAATCTGTTAGTTATTTACTGCTAATTAAAACAAAGGACATCAAAGAAATGGCCATAAGTGGGTTAGAAGCAGAAATCTCTTAATGATATGAGAAGGACAGGTCATACTGTAAGCTACTTTCAGGCTTTAGGAGCCGTTAATAGTTAGCTTATGCTTGATACACCTTTTAAATATTTCTTTGTAACATGAAGTTGCTACAAAAACTGGTTCTGGAACCACGTTGTGAAAACTGTGTTGGTTGTCTGAGCCACAGCTTGAAGTACAGCTCTGCTCTTGAAAACTTGTTAGCTGTATTGGCTTGTAGGTGCAAAATCAGTAGATAATTTTTATTCTACAGATTTATATATATTTATACTAGATGTGTGCACACATTTGTGATTAAGAAACACAAAAGGAATTAGTGAAGATCATACCAGCGAGCATGTGTTTTTCTTTCTTAGGTCAGAAATGTCCTTTTAGTAAGGTATACCAAGGGTTTGCGTGCTGTAGAAACCACAACAGGAATTGTGGCTAGCCAGGACTAGCATTTATGTTGTTTTTGTTTAGCAGTACATTATGTAAAGCAAGCTAGAAGTGGATACTTAGCAGTAAAAGAGGGAAAATCATCATGTTTAATTACTTTGAAGTGCCAGAACTTAACCTGCAAGACTTCTTTTCAGCAAGGTGAGGAGAATGGAAATAAATCTGTCCCTAGAGATCAGCAGACAAGTTTATCTGTGATTTCCTGACCATAGTGAGTTTGATTCTTCAGTACTGTCCCCTAGAAGCTAATTCATTGGGACTGGCTAGATGAGACAGACATCAATGAAGGCTTGAATTCCTTTTCCAATGTATCCAAAGAAATCTATAGTCTGGGTTAAACTTCCATTTCAGCATTTTTGCATGTAATATCCACAGTTTTTGCCACGAACATGAATGCTACTAGGAAACTTTTCAGTCTTTGATTTCTAAAATGTTTGTCATGGTAATGCTCATGTACAGAAACCTAAAAGCAAAACTTCCCAGGGACTTGAATTTCACAGAACAAACTGAACAAAATCAGTATACTGAGGATATTGCTAGTTTCTCAAGTACCCAGTAGCCACTTCCTTTTCCAAAACCTGGAATTTTGTGTTTGACTAGAGAAAGGGGACCTTGTGTTTGTTACATGCAGGTGAAGTAATCTCTTGGTGCATTATGTAACTTCTTTTAATTGGAAGATGGGGATTTTGCCATGGAGATAATGAGACACTTTGTATCTAATGCGCAGTTTCTTCTGTTGTTTTGTTTAGTGGGAGACTTTGATAAGATCTGGCGTGAGCACTGTGAGGATGAGGAAACTCTCTGTGAATATGCTGTGGCAATGAAAAACCTTGCAGATAATCACTGGGCAAAAACTTGTGAAGGGGAAGGCCGAATTGAATGGTGTTGCAGGTAAATCTTAATGTATTTGAAAGACGCAATTGCACACTTCTACTTGCAATTATTTATAATACAAGGCTTAAGCGTTTTTTGCTTTTTTGCCAATTTCAAAGATTTGTTCTATAACATGTTAAGGATTTATTGCTTCCTAAAACAAATACCTTCTTACTGTTCTAACTTACTAAGGAAATATAGCTTATGAAGTGTTTTGTTATAAGGTGACCCTTTTTTAAAGTATCTTCAACAAACAAGGTTGAGTTTTTTTCCTCAAATACTGAAGCTGTTTGCGAGTAAACCTAGGAAGTAATTTTCTATACATTTGAACCTAAACTGAGCAAATGCAGTGAGTGTAGCTCAAGCTTAATTTTCAGGGCTTTGGTTTGATTTGTGCGTATAATAGTGTTTGATTTCTAAATGCAAATCTCTGCTGCATAATTTTCAAGTCTTAGTCATGAAGTGAGTTCAGCTAAACTATTTCAATCCTTGAAGAATATAAACTCCTAAAAGAGAAATGTTGGTCACTCAGGATTCCTGCATACAGTTGGCATCCAAAGCATACCATGGAATCTGTACAGCAGAATAAAACAAAATATTGTTGAAGTCTAACTGGGAAGAGAATTTATCAATGGGTCCTGCCTTTGGGAATGACTTTAGACAGGCAAAAAGTAATGTTGTGTGCCAGTCTGTCGGTCCTGCAGGTGAGTGTTGCAGTGTGATGAGCAAAAGGCAGCAAAGAAAAGCAGGCATGGTATCGCTAAATTTAAATTCATTACATGGGTTCTCTGAGCCCATAAAACAAAAAAAAAAAAAGAGAGGAGAACAACTGTGAAACAGTTGATCTAGGGTACATCTTGGTGGCAACTTGAGCTGTTCTGTGGCTTCTGGAAATGGAGCAAGTAATAG